TCTAGGAGGGGAGTTCTGTAGTGGTTGTGATTACACTATATTTTATCTTTGTTTTTATCATTTCCGTTACCGATCATTTTGTACCATTTGTTTAAATTCACAAATTTTGAATACAACAATTTCTACGCGCTCGCGTCGTGCTGCTTTCGTTTTGCTGCTGCCTCTGCTTGTGCTACTGTCACGTCTTTCCACTAGTCGGATTTATATCTTTGAATCTCTAGTCGGCATCGGACTAACATCGACTGAATGAGGAACTATAACGTAAGTGCATTGATTTTTCTACCATTTTGTGTTTTTGGCCTAAGATTGTCTTTTGTCCCCGCACTCGAACTCATTAGGTAACGGTCCTCTACAGATCCAGTCTGGTACGGAATGTTCGGCCAAACATCATCTCCGCAGGTGATGTATCAGTGTCTTCCGTTGGCGTTATCCCGTAAGCAAACGGCAAGCGATCTAACCTCGTCTGAACAGTTCCTGGTGCTTGTTTTGTGAGACCTCTTTTAATTGTCTGCAAGTTAGAAGCAGGGTGGTAATGAAGCTGTACGGACATGCTGGACATCATTGCTATTCATGAAGATTTCAAATTCTTTGCTAGTGAAACATGGCCCATTGTCTGTGCAGATTGTCTCCGGTATCCCAAATATTGCAAATGACGACCGCATTGTGGAGACAGTTGGCTTTGTAGTAAGGTGGGACACGGGATGAACATCTATCCATTTCGAATGAGCGTCAATTAGCAGCAGGAAAAGCACACCACTAATGGGTCAAAAGTAGTCCGCATGGACGCGCTGCCATGGCTTTTCAGGCCAACCCCAATGGCGTACCGGACCGGGAGGTTTATTTGACTGATACTGCTGACACAAACCACATATTTTTAGATAGTTCTCTATTTCTGAATCTAGACCAGGCCACCAGCAATAACGGCGCGCCAAAGCTTTCATTCGAGCTACGCCTGGATGTGCGTTGTGGAGTTCGTTTAGAATGAACGGCCGTGCCTTTAGCGGTGGAATCAGACGGGATCGCCAAAACAAGCATCCATCGTGAAGGCTCAATTCATTTTTCCGTTGTTCGTAAAGTTTAAGATCGACGGGAACTGTAGTAGGCCAGCCGGTTTTTGTGAACCGCATTATGGAAGATAGCATTGGGTCACGATCGGTCCACTAACGTAAGGTGTCACCTGTCAACGGAGTGGTGTCGAGGTGTTGCATTAGCTTTACAAGCTCTACCGGTTCCTCCAGTATTTCGTCTGGGGTCGCATGTGGTAACCTGTTTAATGCATCCGCTATGATTATTCAACCCAGGAATATAGGAGATTCGATATTTATATGCACTTAATATTAATGCCCAGCGTTGCATTCTCGGAGAAAACATCTGTTCGATTCCCTTTGACTCGCCCAGCAAGGATATCAGTGGTTTGTGGTCGGTTTGTATTTCGAAATAGTTGCCCAAAATGTACTGATGAAACCTCGTGACGCCAAATATAACTGACAGCGCTTCTTTATCCAGCTGGGAGTAATTCTTTTCGGCGGGTTGCAAAGTTCGTGAAACAAATGTAATCGGATGAATGACACCATTCGACATTTTGTGGCATAGAACTGCTCCGACTCCGTATGGAGAGGCGTCACACTGTAAGATTAACGGTTTTTCACTATCGTAATGGACCAAAACAGGTGCGGAAGCAAGACACTTCTTTGCACAAGTAAAAGCAGATTGATGCGCACTTTTCCACATCCACGGGATGTTTTTGTGTAGCAGTTCGTTCAATGGAGCAAAAATGATTGAGACATCCGGTAGGAAACGACGATAGTGCGACAACATTCCTAGGAATGATCGTAGTTCATCACTATTCTTGGGCTGAGGTGCCTGCACAATAGGCGCTATTTTATCTTACAGGACATGCAAATCGGTTTTGTCAAGTTTGTAATCAAAGTAACAGATAGAATCAGATAAGAACTCATAGTTGGACTTTTTTGATTTCAGCCCACACCCTTCCAGACGCTCGAGAACAGTACGCAATGTGTTAGATGCTCAGCGTCACTGCGACCTGTAACAGGGATATCGTCCAAGTATGCATAGGTGAACGGTATATCTTTAACTATATTACCCACGATCCGTTGGAAAGTGCTGGGTGCTGAATTAATTCCAAACGGGAGGCGCGTGTACTGGAGTAGTCCCAGGTGGGTAGTTATTGTGGTTAGTTCCTGTGACTCATCATCAAGTTCGACCTGAGAGTAAGCGTGACTGAAATCCAGCTTGAAAAACTTTTGGCCGCCGGCTAAAGTCGCGTACAAGTCTTCAATAGGTGGTAGGTGATATTTTTCCACTTTCGACGCTTGGTTGACTAACTTGTAGTCTTTGCAAATACGGACGGAGCCGTCAGGTTTGAGTACAGGTACAATCGAAGTGCCCCAATCTGAATGTTGTACCGGGACTATGACTCCTTCTGATTGCAGACGTAGTATCTCTGCCTCAAGTTTAGGGCGCATTGCATAAGGTAATGATCTAGCTTTGTAAAATTTTGGTTCGGCATACACTCGGAGTTTGATAGAAGCCTTGAAATGACGTTTTTTCCCAATTTGTTTTCAAACAACCATGAGAACTGGTTCAATAATCCAGTCAAACTGCTGTTTTCAACAGTGAGTTTGTTGAGTTGCATGGTCTCGGGAAAGAACTGTATCCTGTCTCGACCCATGAGATTCGGTTTGTTCCCAGGTACAACGATTAAGGGTAGGGTGAATTCTCGCTCCCCGTGCCAGGCTTTAATGAAACATCTGCCCAACACCTGTGTACGTCTGTAATCTCGAGTTGCACGGTTGCAAAGGTGGTAACTTTTTCATTGAACCGCGGTTTACAATGGTGACCGCTGCCCCAGTATCTAGCTCCATGTCTATCGGTTCATCCTCTATCGTCAAACGTATTGTGTAAGGAGGACAGCTTTTGAGTGTCACACTGTTCAAGTACACGGAGTTAAGCCCACTGTTCAAATTTTCTAGAACCTTATCTTCCCGTAGCTCTACCTTGCTTTGACGATTTGAAGAGGCGATGTTCGTGGGACGAGAACTTTCCGTGCTAGATAATCTATCTTGCCGCATTTCCGACAGACATTTTCTTTGTGCCGGTAACCGGAAGCGTGAGAGTGCCGCAAACCGCAACGATAACACAAATAGTTTTCGATGTTCAATGGTGTCTGGTTTGCGGATCGCGTGCATCATCAACTACCGGACGACCAGTGAACTCGCGTAATTGGTAGGTAATGTTCTCTCGCTGGAGATCGATGAGACAAACGTTTTCCCACATGGAGGCCGACTCATCCAAGGATAACAACTTCTCTCTGGCACTTTCGTTCGATATTCCCGCAATCAAACATGGAACTTTCATTTGCTCTTCAATTTTTTCAGGTGGAATAGAATGATGAATATGTGCAATAAAATCATCGACACGTTCGTTCGGCTTTTGGACAAGTTTTGAAAAGCAGTATCTAGCGATGTAAACATTTTGTTTCAGCCCCCATAACGTGGTATAAGTATCCAGTTGTAGGGCATCGTAGTGCCGTTGACTGTCATCGCCAAGCACCTGCCTGAATAGTGCGATTTTGTGAGCCTCAGAGAGACAAACGGTCGGATTTAGTACAGGAAGTAATTCCAAGTAGTTAGTAAACGATTTTCTCCATCTTATCCAGTTCGATAAGGTCGGTTTTTTTTCAGCAGATGACCAAATGTTGGTTTGCACCAATTTGACCAGAGGCTGCCTGGCTTGCGGCAGACGGTAACAAACCACTGAGCACCCGGAGGTGCCCTCCCACCGTCAGAGACTGCGTGGCGCATGTGCTCTGCGCCAATCGAACTGTGAGCTTATAGCCCATAGACCTGTCGTCGCCCATGGCTAGGTTTTACGGGAAGAGGACCATCGACCACTTCCTAACCTCCGAAGAGGATGGACTAGGATACTGGCAAAGCGTCCACACAACCATACTCCTCCTTACATCCATGCACTCATACACAGTTAACACATGGATCCATATTTCTTATGAACTTCCGCCGTTTTTACATTTACCAGTCATTGTTGTATCACCATGATCATGCCTATGCAGGTGTGTCTCGCGCTGTCGAGAACGAAACATATTATTTATACACCGTCTTGTACAGGAAAAGTAAGGGAACCGCTCAACAACGTTGTTTCGCATAACATACTCCAGTGGTTGATTAATGTGTTACGTATGCAAGCATACCAACTTCCGCGACGTGCATTACTTTTGCGGCAGACACGTGAATGGTTTAAGAGAAATCTGCCGATAACTTGGTAAAAAAGAATAAAGGCTCTTACGTGGAACTCAGCCTCGGCTGATGCCTCTCAATTCTCGGGTCCGGATTTGGTTGGAGGTGCATGTTGACATGAGCAAGAGCCAACTTCGGTGGCGTTTGTGATTCGAGTTACTTTGTAACTCCCCAACTCATTGATCCTCCTCTATAACCACGAGCGCAACAATAATGGGTAACAAAAGCATGGTATAGTCTTCAGCGGGCTCTTGCGCCACAACAAAAGCTCACACAAACCGAGTTGCGTTCAAATTTCCCCGAAATTTTGAGTTCGCAATCGATTCCAAGCCAATATTGAGATAGTAAAAAGGGGATCTAGTGTACTCTGTTTCACTTCTACAATCATCTAACTGAGTTGAATTGTGGCATAATAGCTATGGTGCTCCTTGCTCCTAGATAACGGGCAGAGGGAGATACAGAGTAATGAGGCTCACCAGGGGTTGTACGAGTGCAGCTCGAGCGGATCAGTAGGGTATGTGAGTTCCCAAAACAGCGCGCAAATGTGAAGAGTCAAGCTAGCGTACACAGTCGAAAATCAGCAATGCTAGTGCCCGTTCAGGTGCAATGGAATAAGTAAAATGTGTTCACAAGTCGGGAGGATATATTGACATAATATGAGAGACGTGCACATTCAACAGCACGTGAAGCGTAAGACAATATAACGAAGTCCTGTTGGCAAATACTTCACCGCTTGGAGGCCGATTCAGTCAAAGCTCGAGCAGGCAGCAGAAGGGCAGAATATTTCAGTCCCTGAAGATTGCACAGAAAGGAAGCAGGGTTTAAAAAGTAGACACAGAGAGGAATTTCCACTACATATATCAGAGCGATAGTTAGGACAGCGGACGTATCCAAGGCAAGATTCATGGGGTGGATAGCACCAATATCAAATCAGGTTCTGTGTGATTCCGGTCGAGAAGTGATCTAATTCCCCCCCAAGCTACCTAACCTAGCTCAAAATCAAAAAGCAACGGCGCTGAAGTAAAGGTGCCAACAGGTGTTAGAAATAGTAGTCTAAAACTGAGCCAACTAAACTTCCGATAGAAGAAAGCACTTCGTGATTAACTTTAATTTGCTGGAATCGAACTGGACATATTCACGGAATATTATTGTCCCGTTTCATCTCAATGCTGGAATAACGAATCCCCTGAGAAGAGTTCACATTCGCATAGATAACTATGGTGCATTTGTCATGAAAGAGGGAACAGGAGTGAGAAGCTGGGAACGGCTGTAAGATTTCGATAACAACCGCCTAACAACCACGTTGCCGAGTCAGGGAGAATGAGGTGCAAACAGCGACTCGGATCGGCAGTCAGTTGCACAAGCATGCAACAGTACATGAAAAAGACAGTGGAAGCACAGTCCGGTAGAAATCTGCCACCCGAAATTAAGCTAGTAGCTACTGACGAAATCCTGTGTGGTAATAGTGATAAGAATGTCAATAAGAATAACCGCATATTCCTCGACATCCCGCAATAAATGGGCTGATCATAACGAAGAGAGAAATGAGCAGTGACAGCCAAGAAAACCAGTAGCAGACAGATTGACGTCGTCGACAAATGTGACAACAATTGTGACTAGCAATTAACATACAGTAGTATTATATTGCTTGGGTTTGGAATAACTGACTGCGAATGATTCAATCAATGAGGGTAAAACCAACGCGGAACTAAGTCAATCGTCTAGTAACAGAATACCTTAGGTTAGTTTTCACCATAAAACGTTTCCCAGAATTTGTCCCATCCATCAAGTCCTTTAATGGCGTTTCCAAATGCGCAACATCTACCGTTGTATTCCGAAAGAAGCATGGAATCAATGAACATATTGTCTGGAACCCAAATGAGCGGATGAACTGAGTAGAGAGAATCCATTTCCACACCAACCACTTGAAGATTGATGCCAGCCCGAGCAAAATTAAGACAAGCAACGATCGCAATGTGGAATTATCACCCTCAAACGGAAGTGAGCTGCGGTCGAAATTGTGTATCAGGAAGTTGGGGATAACCTCACCCCATAAATGGGGAGGTGAAAACAACGACCCCGGATTTCTGACACCATTAGCTAGCACGGTCGACAAATTGCATTAAAATATGGAGTTTCGCTGTGGCTCTCTCCCATCCCTGCACTCCACGACAAACGGTTTACTCCTGATTTGGACCCATCAGGTAAAGATAACCGAGATGGGAGTGGAACTCGGCGCATAGTAATTGGCGGCTATCGCCATGATTACTAGGCCATCGAGCAACGCGAACAGTGCATCGCATGGTATGTAAGACTTAGAAAAGGGTCTAGTGTCATTTAGCGTTTAAGCAGTACAGATGAAACCTTGGTTGAAACGGTGGGATTATCAGTTAGGCCATACATGTTTTCCTTAACAATGAACTGAGGTGCAAACGACATTAGCAAGCTAACTGGTGGAAACTGGCAGTACCCACAAGATTTGACGAGTGTAATGAATCGAAATTTTGCTAAATCGAGTTGAGTGTTGCGATGCAGGTCATATCACCGAGCTGAGCAATTAGGTTGCGAACGTTTCGTCACCAATCAAGGTGACATGTTCAGTGCATAGTAATGATGGCATTTGCAGTTGTGAATCATGTTATCAAGCGTATCCCTACAATTGCAGCTATCATCACCAACTCCTTTAAGAAGTGAAGATGCCACCTCAAATGATGACGAAACGTTTACAATCGAACTGTTCAGTTCGACGAGCCAACCAACATCTCCAGACTTGAGGGAGGATACAAAGACACCATTGACAAATTACAATCAGTCTCGTAGAATCTATAACGTACACTGGCTATGCTCTCAATGCATAGGACAACATTAGTCAGATTACGGCGTGGAACACTGTTAGGGAGTATAGGTGATAGAAGCCCAATGGCACAATGTACTAGTGGTTTGCTGTTAGGAAACCAATAACGGTTGTCTGTGGGCTGGAATATGTGCAAGGTCAGCAGCAAAGGCAACGCTCGAATCGCTGATCCGCGGATTACAAACCAAGCGCACTGTGATACGCAGCAGTGAAATTTATGAGGAGGCTTCTTCACTCGTTGTTCGCGGATCTCAGTAGCATAATGTCCAGGACATCAGCCGTGAACTACTAGGCTCTGAGTTCCACCCCGGTTCAGGCTATCGCCACCAGATGAGTCCAAACAAGGACGAAACCGTGGTCGTGATGTGCCAGTGTTTGGAGGAGCAACACCCAGATATTTCCATTCCGGAATGACCGAGATTTAGCTCAAAGTGAACCGAAGTCGCAATAGAGGTTGCGAATCGCAACCCAACCACACAGTGTTCCCTAAATGCAACTTTCAACCGCTTTCCGCTGTGCCAAGCGTTGCTCTCGGATCTCAGTAGCATAGTGTTCAGGGCGTCACAGCAGTGAACTACTAGCCTCTGAGTTTCACCCCAGCTCAGGATACCTCCACCTGACGAGTCCAAACCAGGACGAAACCGCGGTCGTGATGTGCCAGTGTTGGGAGGAGTAATGCGGAAGCATATCCGCTTCTTCGCTGAATTTACCCGCCGATAAGACAGTCGTTCCTGCCTTGACCATATGCTGTTGTCTCCATGAGTGACTTTCGCTTAATATAAGCGTGATTCAACCTTTACGGCAAGTTCATTGGCGAAGATAACTGCCAGTCTGATCAACCAGTTTGCGTCCTTTCTATAAATATATGAATCGATGGTATTGCGTAAGTCTAGCAATAACCAGTGTAAAGCATTTGCAAAACTTTCAGCGAAATACACAATTCGATTAAGAAGGGGCTGGGCACAACCCCAATAAATAATGAAGGTATAGTAGATGGCCATGCAGGACGCCAGAAAGTCTACTTGACGTTGTGGGATAGTTAGGAAATCTGTGATGGTGTGTCCAGTTAGCTCACGTTGAGTAGGCTCGATAAGTTGGGTTACTTCTCATGCCAGTTTCTGATACGGTGCGATAGTTAAAACAGAAAATTGTTGTATACTTGGTGATATAGCCAGGTGTGCTGGGGCTTAGCAGGCTTTGATGACCCGACTGACAGTTCATTAATCAGGTTACTTCTACGTTACAATGTGTCGGTTCAATGATTTTGCCATTTTAGTTAGACCCCCTGAGTTGTTTGGTTTCACTCTCTATACTGCATTCGAATAGTCTTAGCTCTTTGTACAACGGAAGATGGGCTCTCAGCTGTTTGGCGCCATGGTCAGATGACTGACAATCGCCAACACAACTCAAAGAGCCCCAGACAGACCTCCAAATGGTACAGCTTTGCAGATGCCTTAGAGCGCGCAATTAGCATACTAGTAGGGCTCTTCTTTGAATTTTCGGGACACGATAGAGCTCCTTTGATTCGCCGATAAATATGGAGAGAATACGAGACGATGCGCCTCAGGGAGGGCGGAGTAGTAGGTGGATGGGCAACATGGAACGGTCGCCTATGGACGATGACCACAAAAGTGGACCGGAATAGGAGCATAAAACTAACATTGTAATAGTGTAAACACAAATAGGATCATTGAAAATGCTTGACAATTTGCGGCTCTACTTTAAAGAAACACATGTGGTCCACTTAAGAATCTTACAAGGAGATGGAGCCCCCCCCCCCCGCGAGGCAAATCTGTGCTACTGCGCCACAAGACAACACAGATACTCGATACAACAACGGTGCGGTTCCAGGTGATTTGAGGACGACAACTGAATACCCCAGAGAGAGAGAGAGACTCACCGCGCTATGTATCGATCGCAGAAACGCGGAATTGGAAGTAACAGTCAAACAACCATAAGCGTTTCCAGTAGCCATGACAATCTTGACAACAGAAATTAGAGGGGAAAGAGGAAAGCGAGATTGTTAATGTCAGAGAGACCAAATGGGGAGCGATTTCCGTAACTCCCGAATATTTACACGACGATGTATTACAATGGATGAGGACCGAAGCAACTAAGCGCAAACCGTAAACCACAAACATAGTTATCTGTACAAGTGAGTCAATGAAATTCAACTGGAAAATAACTAATTCGAAGAAAAAGCGTGAGCCTCTCATAGTATCGACGGAAACGCAGTTTTAGGTAATTTGGCTTGGCCGTTCAGCCATCAGGACTGGGCTGATAGTGACATGAAGTGACCGGAATTCGAGGTCATCTTCAAAGGAGCTACATGAAACGAAACAGACAAGGTTTATCTAAAAAGATGCGACTACACTATTTCCCGGTCAAGATGTCCTTTTGGGCAACAGAAATAATCTGAGGGGGCATTCAACATGAGTCTTCTCAATTAATTTGTTCCGTGCGTATGAGCTGAAGCGTCCCACCTGCACCCCTATGACTTAGTGCGTCTGAGGTCCAAATGGCTGAAGGCGACGGGCTATACACGTACATCTATACACCTTCACAAGTGACTGGCGTACGCACGGAACATATTAATTGAGTAGACTCATGTTGAATGCCTCCTCAGATTATTTCTGTTTCCCAAGAGGACAACTTGGCCGGGAAATGGTATATAAACTCCGTAGAAGACAAGGACAGCGTACCGTTGTAACTTCTGTTCATCAGCATCAGAAAGATAGTGCGATTAAAAACCGCCAACAGGCGCCATCTCGATAACAGCCAACCACGAGGAAAATGGTAGAATGCATTGATCAATAGCTCATTTGCGTGCATTCCTGTCTGAGAGGCGGACGAATAAAGTGGCAAGGCAGTAATACTATGTCATCTTGTAAAAGCCATCAGCTTAGTTTAGACGAAGCACTCCCTAAGCTAACGAACAGGTCATTCAAACATTTTGCTGGCGACAGCGAGCGCTTGACGGAATTTGGTGGACGGAGGCCTAGGTAATGTGTTTAAGCAGCTAATCGTTCTATGAATGGCCAGTTGCTGTAAAGGTGATCATCGCAGCATAGAGTTCAAGAATCGATGCCTTTAATTATTAAGCACTTTCACGGCGACCGCAGGAGCATTCTATAGCCAGAAGAAAATTGCGGAAACGCCCCACCGCTACGCAGGTCAACAGGGTTGCCAGATTTCGCCTTTACAATTCAGATTGTGAGTGAACGACTTCGGTTATCCTTAACTGGAAGTTACAAAAGGCAACCGACTGGTAAAGCATGAGATTGTCAAAGCTAACTAACTGGCGCATAGTGTTGCATGCCTAGGTTTTATGAAAGCCTGCTGACAGCCTGAACCAAGATGCAAAGTTGGTAGAGGTCACGCCACATGAAACTGAACACCAGAGTAACTTGATGTGAACAGATGGATCAAAGGAATGAATTGTGCGGCAAATAGGATGCAAACCTAACATGTACAACCACTGAACGCACATCGCACATTTGGCTGTTTACGCGGCAATGATGGTTGGTTGGTTGACTGCGTATGTGAGCCCCATGTGGAGTACGCGACTCGGTGCTGTCAAATCTGGCTCCAACGCAACCAACCTGCATTGGAGACCCAACTGAGGAGGGCGGCGACCAAATAAATTAAGGGGTTGTTCCATCTGTCACACAAATCACGACGAAAGCCATAGGAGTTCACGGCGGACGTAGTCGCCATCCACATAGTGATCTTATTCTGACTTATCATATTTTGAAAAATAAACTCTAGTAACGTTTGTAGTCACTTCCTGAAGCCTAGATGCCACACAAAACTAAGAGGTAACCAACTGAAATTGGCCACCCCATACAGCCGGAATACTCTTTTTCTCCTAATTTGTCGGACATGTGTCATTCCTGCGCCCCCTACCCACTTTTTGAAAATGACTCGATGATGCACTGCATCACCTGTAGTACTTGATCTGTGCTCACTAGCCCGCCCCCAAGAAATCGGGGTAGACGGATTTACGTGCGTGTGTTAACGTGGTAAGTCCACAGATGCGCAGTTCACTTGGCTGCCTTATTTTTCTCCGAAATTATGTAGTTCATACAAGCCAGTCCACAGGACTTTATCCGAATTCTACAATCGTTCCAATGAACAACTTCTCGAAGGCTGCCACAAATTTAACTCGGCACAGGTCGGATGTAACGACTGCTTGCGTGGCAAAGACAACAGGCAAATCGGGTTAGTGAGTGCCACGGTATCCGCCAAATCGATGGTTAGAGAGCCCTACAAACAAGGCGTTTGAATAAGTTTCTTCGGTGAAACCCTCCACCATACAGGTATGATGAGTTTGTCGATCTGCGCTCGTTCGATCCCCCCATCAATCCGTTCCGCTGGTTTTTACTACTGTGACGACGAGCCGAAGGAACTGGATGTACTGCAGTTTTGTACACGGATCAGAGGACGGATCGTACCGAAATAATCGGTTGGATCAAATGAGAAAGGAAGACATATGTAAGAATACGGTGAGGAAGTTATTCAGCAGAAAATGATATAATTCGTTATCTTTATCAATCAAAGTAAGCAAAGCGAGACCAATATGTAAATGGATGCTGTCGAAAGAAGCGTCGATCGTTCGGCTGCTCATCATAAGCGATGCAATCTAAGCTGAGTTAGCAGTAACGGTGATTACCAGGTCCACCGATGTTCTATAGACGCGATATGCATGCACGCGGAGCATAACTGGTTAAGCACCCTAGCTTATAGCGTTCGTGTATCGCCCACCTATTCAAAGTGGCGGCTTCTAAGTGCAAACTAGCAAAAATGGCGAATATAATGACAGACAGGGCATATTCCGACATCATACTATCTTCCGTGGTCCAGTTATTGTATATGTGAGAGAACGGATAAAAGCCAGCCAACATTATAATTCAGCCAATTAGTTATTATTTATTTATTTAGTATCATCATCATTATCATCGTTATCCTTCCAAACAGTACCTAAGCTGGTATCCGATTTTCCTGATTCACCTGTGAGCAGCGTCCTATAGAATACGCATTTACCCGAATATGCCCATATAGTAGTGTCAAGAATAAGTTTACTTATTTATCTGGCGTTAGGCGAACTAAAGAGGGTATATAAAGTGAAGGACTTACTTGGGTTTTACGTCTGTTTTCTTTGGCACTTGTGATTCGAAACAACGCGGTCGCATCGGGGCTCAAATCCACATCCGGTACGATAAGCAACCGAGAGAGGAGACGGATGCCTCGATCCCATTCTGAAGGACCGGCCACTGTTGCGAGTATGTTTAAAAAAGAGAGGACGGCGGTGCGACATGCCACCAACACGGCACCTATGAGAAGAGACGGAAATGCACCACTTTAAAAGGAGCGGAGAGCATGCAACTGGCGTGAGATGAAACCAGACACCACTGTAAAGGCCCCTATGAAACGCGCTCAGCTAGGTAGCGAACCCCACGGGAGATGGAGACGACTGAAGCCAAACAGTTGCGCTTGGATCGAATGGTTGTCAGGTAGCAGTGGCGAACGTTAATCAAACGGCACAAGAGCGGGCCCCCTGAAAATCCGAGCAACGTCATTCCACAAATCTAAACTCCTGACCCAAACCGTAGATGCGTAATTCCTCGCCTACGTAAAGCATCTGTTAATGCATTCATAATGGAACCATAGAGGATTGTACCAAGATTAGTCGCAGCTAAACTGAACCAGATAACTGTCACATAGTCAGAAATTCAGTAGATCGCTATCATGCTCTAGTAAAACTTAGAGGTAACAAGTGTCTCTCGACTCCGACCGGATCTGAACATGCTATCGGTCACAAGCAAAGTGATAATGCAAGTCAGTGGTCCCACTAGACTGCACGTGGCGTAGTTCATCACCTGTTGAAATATATATATATATATATATATACATATATATATATATATATATATATATATATATATATATATATATATATATATATATATAGTCTGTTAACAGACATCGTGCCATCAAAACCATGGCAGAAGGAAAAAATGGAGAAAATAGAAACACGAAATGAGATTTTTAAAAATGGAAAACGATTCTTTTGGGTTCATATACGCCATTTGATTATTCGTTCGTTTTGGTTTCGTGAGCTTTTGTGTGCATTGAAGGGGAATAAAATGGAAGAACAACATTGACGCCACTGATGTTTGTTGCGGGCCATGACATCCAATGTTTCTAATGATTCAACATCTCGTGGTCCCCAACGTGGAAGACGGACTTGTCCGACTGCCGCCAAACTTGAGGTTGCCTTCTTCATGCTCCTTCTCCACGTCATCGGCTGTCCACCGCGGCACTTTTTCTAATCACACTCTGGGAGTGCAGATAGCACTCGACGTGGAAGGCGATGGGCTGGCATGTGTAAAACGTGCCCGAGCCAACGCATGCGATGTCGGAGAATAACGTGCTGAAGACTGGCACTACTCGCTCCAAGCACTCGGTCTCGGACCTCTGCGTTGCTTACGTGGTGTTGCCACCACACACGAGCAATCCTTCGTAGACAGCGGTCGTCGAAGACTGACAGTCGCTTCATATCTGCCGAGCGAATAGGTCAAGTCTCACAGCCGTAGAAGAGTACTGCACGGACGGAAGCATTGTACACCCCGCTCCTGAGCTTGAGACTGACAACACGAGAAGTCTATAGGTGTCTCAGTTTAGTGAATACAAGGCGGGTCTTTGCAATCCGTTGTGAGACTTAATCTCTAACACCGTCACCAGCCGTGATGCAACTCCCTAGGTAAGTAAAGCAAGGGACTTGCTCCAGAACATGTCCCGTAATGGTGAGCGCGGGTTCAGGCACCTGCCAATCCTGGAGCAGCGTTTTACATTTTCCCGGAGTGAAGTATAAGCCGTACTTAGACGCCTCCATCGGTAAAAGGTCTAAAGCGCTCTGGATGGTTTGTGGGTCGTCCCCCAGTAAGTCGATACCAACGGTGTAGTCCAAGTCCGTGACTCTGTCTCCAGGGATGAGTTCAACACCGCAGTTCTGGGCACCTTCCAGTGCTACTTGGACCACATCTTCGATGGTAAAATTGAAGAGGAAAGATGAAATATGGCAATCTTGGCGAACACCGCTGGTCACAGCAAACGAAGAAGAGAGCGTGCAGTAAGCCCTGACTTTGCCCGACGTGTGACTGCAAAATTCTTTCAGGTTACAAACTCGTCAGACGCACCTTTCTTCAGTAAAAAGTTCCACAACGCAGATCTATCTACTGAATCAAATGCCGCTCGAATGTCCAAGAACACTTCGATTGTTGGCCGCCAATGGAGGTGGCGGAGTTCGAGAAGTTGGCAGAGCGTGAAGATTTGGTCGATGCAGCCGCGGCCTGGATGAAATTCGGCTTATTCTTCTCGGGAAAACTCCTCTCTAGTCGTTAAAAGCCTGCGAAGTAGGACCGACACGAAGATTTTGGATGTGACAGAGATTAACGAGGTTCCGTGGTAGTTACAGCAATCATCGCGGGAGAATTTCTAGTGAATCGGAACAATGACCGGTGGTAGGCTGTCGGTACCAGGAGTCTTGGGTAATAGGCAGGTAGGCACCTTGTCAACATGCATATAAAGCGCAACCATACCGGGGATGTCAAAGAACAGCCAATCACTCAAAATGACGATATTAAATAAAATATAGCAAATACGCAAATGGATATGACAATATAAATACTCGTTAAATGAGCATTTGGAGTAAATTGGTTATCAGCGAATCCGCGATAAGTACGAAATATCTGAAAGTTACTTCAAAAATGCCACGTGATAAAGTTACGCAAGTTCAGCACAATTAGCATGAGCGACGTGTGCAAGTTAGTAGAAAATTATCAGGTACGCAGCACAAACCAAATAAAGTGGAATGAATTTTATGCAATTAAAAAGACCTAGTTTAAGTGGAAGTTGGTGAAGTAGTATCACGAATGCAACATCAGCCTAAGCATGGGGCCATGCGAATTATAATTACATTATGCGCCCGCAGTGCTCCACCTTAAGTTGTCAAGTATCATCCGAAATCACTTGTCAATCTCTGAGAAACTGGATCTCCGTTGGCTCCAGCACATTGTTCGATCGTTGTCAAAGCTTTTCCAGATGATTCCAGACGAATCACGCTATAACCAGGAACAACCACTCAAACAAACGTTGCGCAATGATCGCGAAAATGGGTGTTTTCAGCGCCACTCAGAGGTGACCGATGCGCTCTCCATAAACCGTCGCATGCTCTTTCAGCGCATTCGGACCACAGATCACAGAAGGCCTGGCGTCGAAGAGGCCAGGTGAAAGCTGGCAGATCACCAGTCATTAACCTGCCCGGGCATATAGACCGCCGAAGTTAACACTTTATTTTCAAATCGGTTGGTGTCTTTAGTTTGTTTACTATCGGTACCGAATCGCAAACTATGAGACAACGATATAGGAACGTTTGCAATTTGGAGCGATTCAAGGCTGTCGACTCAGGAGTTCCTCCAGAGCCGTTCAAGTACAGCGAGAAAATAAAGCTTAACAAATGAGCGAAAAAGAGATCCAATTCTCTTCGAGTGAGCACCCGTAGCTTATGCGCCATTCACGAAGAGATTAGCCAGATCTCGATTGCGTGCACTGTTAGCATCTACTCTAGTACGTAGACTTATCGGGACTAGAGAACCGCACCCCCGTGGATAACAAGATGGTTTCCGCTCCGGCCGAAAATGCATGGATCACGTTCACGCAGCCCCGTTTTTGTGCCAACATCGTCTTTACCACCGGTTTCCCACTGTGGCCTTTCCAGACAACCGGCCTGCGCTTGGCTCGACTGATCGAGCCAACGGCGACCAGTGGAGAGTTTGCAGACCGGTTAGCCCGAAACAAAGGGGGGAGGAATGATACGGTCATTGGTCGTTCCAAATCTATGGGAGCGCGTGTACTTATGTGCGTACGTGTTGGTGTGACAACCAATCAGTGTCTGGCATTGATTCGTTTCGAACTGGAACTCGCTCTCGCGCTCATGTGACTATCGTGGCAGACAGTTTTGACGTGTTGACACCTGCTGGATAGAGTGCATCGAAGTGCTACCAAAGTTTTCCTACTTCCATACGGCTGTTCTGATTTCGCCTAGGTGGAACAGAATACAACATATGCACATGTGTTTGTCCAAAGTTAAGTGTGGATTACCACAAACCGGACGGACACATTAAACCTCATGAACAATAGTACTACAAAAGTGCATGGGTTTCGTTTGGATGTAAAGCTAACAACCATTTTTGCCAAATGATGGGAAATTGCACGCATGAGAATAAGTACCCAAAATGAACCGTCAGTGTTTTCGTTAATATTTAAACGTGAAGATAAATAACAGCTACAAATCTTGGGCAGCAGTATTGGAACAAAACCGATTTAGGAATAGGGAAGCAAGTGCCATCAGTACGATTACCAGGTAGAATGATAACAAAACAAAGTTACAGTAAAATAGTGCGTATTTGGGTTGCTGTTTCCTATATGTGAAGTCGGGCTTGCTGAGCTGATGGAGAAGATCGCACAGCGTTCGAATGCGATGGTGTGTTCACTTCAGGCTCTGTGTCACCGACCGCCGCTTAAGACAGGACTGGTCCGATCATCTGCTGCCCGAAGTTCGTGCGGATTCTCAAAGAATGTTTTTTCGCGACCTTAAGCATTGACAAGTGATAATATCACACATCCGCCGATTACGGCCTCGTTGGCGCGACAACAACCGCAGTACCACATCAACTAAGTCCCACTGCCCAATGAAAAACATTCGGCTTTCAAAAGTGTTCGTATTGTTCAAGACGCAGCAGGGCTGTCATCCAAGTACTCAACCGTTTGTACATACCACTGTGTGGTCTGCTTTGGCCATAAGCTATTTGGTAACGATCTGCATCGTACGTTCAGAGTGCAGCCATTCGAGGCTCCAAAGCAATTGTTGCTATGCGCTGGTTCCTTTCCGAGGTAATAAACTAAGACACTGATGCATCATTATCGTTGATATTACCTTCTTCTTGGGTTACCCAGAATATTGGCTATGTCCAATTCCACTTCTAGTAGGCATTTCTGCGCTTCCGCTTTCAATCCGCATAGTACCCGCGTGTGCATAAACGCAGGTATGGCTGAGGAACAAAGGGAAATATAGCTATGCTCACTCTCATCACTAACATGTAGAGCGGAACATGAACTATCGGTATCATGATAATCGTTAGTCAGTGAATTGTCAGGAGTGTTCAGTTGCCACGGATTTTCCAGGGCGATTTTTCTTCGGATGTATGGTTCAACATGGTCAAACAAGGGATAATCGTTGAGTATTGTATTCCAAATTTCAAACTTTAGGATTTATGGGTACTGTAAGCGGCTAAGCGCTGGGAACGCTTGATTCACGCGTATCCACCGAACTGGAAACGTACTCAATACATATTCGACAGTTTACAAGTTATGAGCACAGCACGGTTGCAGTGGGGCCAATGCACCACATGTCACTTCTAAAGGACGGAAAGAATATCTTAAACTAATTCGTCTTCCATCATTCAGCGTAGGCTAGGTAACCCCCTGGACTATAAGGTCGTAAGAGGTGCATCGATTTCTCTATAACTAGCAAGTCGGTATGCGAAAAGATCCTGCGAGCAAGCACCGAGTGCCAGTTGCTCCCCATAGCTTTGTGAATTTGAACAGTGAATCAAGGCCAGGAATTCGTCAGCAAATAAGCAAGTATTGCGCTTCTTTTTGAACCGGAGCTTTGGATCAAAAATTGAGAATGGTTAAGGTAGCTCCCTACTACCCAGGGCGCCGGACTGTGTATGGACTGGGCGACCCACGCAGTATCCTTATCCCACGTGCAACTGGTGGTGATTGTGCGGCAGCGAAGTGTCGATACTGTGTACTGGCGTACTGCTGATGTGTTTTACAGAGGGCAGACTGGAGTGTCAAGCATGAGAGAGACAAGGCCAAAGCACCAAACACGAAACTCACCATAAATGTATCGTTGAAGAACGAGCAGTACAGGTTTCGCAGCCTCTGCCTCAATGAGCCAATCCAGAGTAGCAGACTTAAAACGAGGCCCATTCAGTAGTTGATTGGCTCGTTCAACGCTAGCAAGTGACTGCATGATGGTGTCCGACGTAATCGGTGATTGGGTCGGTCTTGGCTCAGGAAGAAACTGTGACAACTCCGATACCATTCCGATGAGTGCTGAGACATCCAGATTGATACGTGGAAGGTGGCCAAAACTGTAAAAGTGAAAAATAGTGAAAATAAAAAGGCATTCCCAAACAAATGTGTGAGGCATGTTGGTCATTTTGAAGCACGCGTTTTGTAAATGGCTCGCGGCGATGCGCAATTTCAATGTGTACCGCGACTCCAGTTGAAGTGAACTTGGGTCAATTCGGTTAGTTGAAACGCACGTGAAGCAGGTAAATATTTGGTGTTCCCCACTCGTAGCATTGCAATCATCTTCATCAGGTAGGGACATGAGTGCACTCGGACCCAGGAACTTTGGGGTGTCAACCGAAGCCTCTATTCCTTCAATCACCGAGTTGCACAGGGTAGCAAGGCTTGTCACAACGGTGATGGCTGTAGAACGCTTATTTACACAATGAGCGAAGTGAAGCCACAAGGTTGCTTCGGCCATTCTCGAGAGTACTGACTCTGCGGCTCAAAGCAGTGCGAGCGTTTGCATACCAAGTGGCCAACTAAAGCAGAAACGTCGCAACGAGACTGGACCTTAAGGTTGTGCGACGGTTTGTGTAGTTCTTTGACTCACTGAGCTATACTGAGTGGTGCTCCCCGACTCCTTGTGAGCTACTCCTAACAGGGTGGTCAGTGATAAGAGATCACACAAACTCAGTCTCCTGGTCCTCCAGGTTGGGGGTTTGATATAGGATGGCATCCGTTCCAGTAAAACCGAATCATTGCCACCGTCCCGTTGCTCTGATGACAGGCTTTTAAACCAAAGGCTTTGGTTGAGGCAGCAAATCGTCACCATATTTAGGTCTGGGCGCCCTGGAAGCATCTCAGCCCAGTTACAACCATGACTACTCCGCCAAACTTGTTGATTATCGTTTCATTGTAATTAGTTTAACGCATTTCCTTTTTGCTTCCATTTTCGTTGCATTATATTCCCATCCAAACCCACAACCCTACCGTTGTTATGTATTATTATTCTAACGGTGTGAGTCGTGGCAACTGGGTCCACATTTCGGTGCTTGGATCACAGTTGTTCAACGGAAGTGAACATTTGTTTGCAGCCTGCTTGACGACATCAACTAAGGTCTATTTACGAAGCAGTACTAAACGCTGTGTGTTCGTGGTTTCCGTTTATGCTCCCAAGGACTGTAGTTCTGATGCTACCAAGGATACGTGCTATCCCGAACTGAACACTACTACGCAGTGCTACATGTTCAGATATCTAGGATTTGCAGAGGATATGAATGTACAAGTAAGTCGTCTGGGCACTTCAGAAGCTTAGCTAGGTAAGCGTTTGCTGCGACTGTATGCGGAGCACTAGCTGTTACTTGGTAGCACCGTTTGTAGACATAATGGACGCTAAAGGGCCACTTCGCACCCTCCTGTAGCTGGCCAGTGATGGACCCAGATAGTTCACATTGCCGTAATTTACAAGTGGTGTGGTTCCATACCGGACTGCCGCTCGTTCTGGATTACTTGCATCGACTCTGAGTATGCTTTGATACGCTGTCGTTTGCCCGTGCACTTTACTGGGAGGCGCACCAAGCGTCCTCCTCGATTGGCTACTGAGAAATTAACTCAGCCCTCGATCAGACAAGCCTGTCAGGACGCTGTGTACCGAATTCACGATCTATCATCTTAATGACACTGAGCCTCAGTGGAATAGGATCTCTGCCGCTATGCACAACGCGGGAGCATTAGCTTGTGGTGGTATCAATCGTCACCACACCAGTCACTGGATATCCGAGAGGTCGGTGAACTTGTTGGAATCCAGAGGAAAACTCCCCGTTGGCTCTGAGCATAATGTGACCAGACGGACCATTAGGCGCGAACTAAAGTGCAGTCTGTGCGCTGACAAGGAAGCCTGGTGGATCAGTCGCGCTCAAGAAATGGAGGAGGCAGGAGCAGCAGACAATTATTGGAGGCTCTTCCAAATGATCCGTACTACTGATCCCAGAAAATCATGCGTCAGTCAGACCATCCGAGACAGCGCTGGTGCCATGATTCATAATAAGGAGGGCCTTATGGTTTGTTGGGCGGGGCACTTTCAAGATAAGTTCAGTCGACCTCCTGCTTCGAACCTTTCCCTACTCAGGCGATGCAAGGTGAACCATGGATGGTTAAAGATGCCATCGGAGGTTGATGATCGAAACGCGATCATTTTCGTGTTGCTTGCCCGGATTCCGTCGCATCCACACTATTTAAGGATGGTGGTTAGGTCCTCTGCAAAGTGCTGACATGTCAGGAAGGAAGAGACCGTCCCAGCTAACCGGAGTGAATCGATTATAGTGGTAATATGGTTGGCGGCATCCGGTTTCGGATTTACCTGTCACTGTGGTCAGCCACAGGACGCCTGCGCCTACAGAGGGACCATGGATGGCTTGCGCTGCACCACCCACAGCTCCAACCACACACCCCATAACCAGTGTAAACCCAAAGGAATAAGACCGGGAGGCATGCGGATGGGAGCCACGTTTCATCAACGGAGCCGGCCCACACTCCTTCACAGGCAAACACAATCACGCTGTATTTGGGAATCAAGCGCACACAAGGCGGTGGCTGGACCGTAGTCCGCTCCACAGTGAGTGCATGGAACCACTCTTCGAGTCTAACACGGCCACAAGGACGGTGCACCCCGTCCCCTCCAGCAACGACCAACTGTCTCCTGGAGCCAGTATGGACGAGGTAGCGGGTAATAGACAGGTAGGCACCTTGTCAACATGCACATCAAGCGCAGTCACACCGGGGATATCAAACAACAGCCAATCACTTGAGAAAGAGACAAAGAAAATAACTCGATTAATGCATAAGGAAACGGTGACGTAAACCTTAAGTTAATGAGCATATAAAATAAGTTGTTTACAAACGAATCCTAGATAAGTTCACGAGGTCGGAAAGTATACTTTAGGGAATGCGATGAACACAAAAATGTTATGGAAATCGAATACAACTGGCTTAAGCGAGGTGTGCCAGTTAATAGAATAGAGTACTGGTAGACATTTATATGAGATAGAAAAGCATTTAGGCAAAATTGAAAACCCACCACCTGAAATAAAGAGACTTGACATGCAAGCATGCGGTTAGTAAATCGAATGCAGCGTACCCACAAACGCTGCGCCGGTTCTGCCTACAGTGGTAATATACTGGAAAGGTAATCGCACCGACTGTGCTAATCACAGGGGTAGTAGCCTAACGACAGTTGTGACAAAAGTACTTTTCTCAATTCCCGTTTGTCGCCTCACTGCGGAACGGGAATCCCGGACAAGGGAAGAGCATGCAAACATCCGTACAGGAAGACGACGTGCAGACCATATATTCATTCTACGGCAGGTGCTAGAGCAGCGCCACGCACACAGCAGACTGACAATAGCTTTGTTCCTGAACTAAAGTGCGTTCGACTCACTCGATCGATCCATTCTGTTCGAACTACTTGCGCAGCGTGTTCCCATGAATGCATGCTCTATACTAGAACATCAAAGACCACGTTAGGGTCTACAGCGACTTACTGGATATCCTTACGAGAACAAGTGATGTCCGTCAGAGTTGTCCAAGTTCCCCATTTTTGTTCAACTCAGTCGTGAACTCTATTACGGAGCGTTCCCTTGTGGAACCTCACGATGCAGGCGTTGAGGTGCTGCCTGGTGAGGGGCTAGTTGATCTCGATATGCAGACGATGTCGTCTTCGTGTTTAAAGAGGTTGGGGCGGTCCAGTTAACCCTGAATAGCCTCTCTAGAGTGATCCCATTATTTGGTATGCGCACCTTCAAAGTACAAAATGTTGCTGCAGACACCAGACACTTGATGACCCCTTGAGCCTTGATAGCAATGAACCTGAGGAAGCTGATTGGTTCACCTTGGTACCCGTATCAGCAACGATAGGCGCATAGCCACTGAAGCCGGTCCACGTATTGCAAAAGCCATAACTGCCTTCTTGAATCCTCATCTTTGGCGACAGAGCGGAGTATCCCTCAGTCTGATAGGCTGTGTTTACAAGGCCTCAGTGAAGGACTTCATACTCTATGGGAGTGAGACTTGCCCCCTGTTATCTGAGGACTTGCAATGCCTCCAAGTCTTTGATCACTGCTGGCTGCGGAGCACTGCTGATGTCGGGTGGAACCAGCATGTCCGCAACGATGATGTGCGAAGGCGAGTGCTAGTCATTGATAAACAAGCTAATTCCTTAACACAACAGATAACATTGAACAAGTTGCGTTGGCTTGGGCACGTACTACGTATACCCGGTCACCGTTTTCCGAGGAGGGCCTTGTTTTGTCTGCCAGATGTAAGGTGGCGCAAGAATCGAGGTGCACAGAAGTTGACTTGGTAGCGGGAAACGAAGTCAGTGACGACCAAAGTGGGTGCCGTCGGTCTGTCTCACCCAGGCTGGAGCCAGCGTGACCCGCCTTGGGCTTGGATCGAGACTTTAAAAGACATGACGCAGTCGACACCAGTGGCGTGTGATGGGGGCTGGAAATGCTGGTGATTGGAAATGCGGTAATGCCGATCGAACGTCACAAGTCAGACCGATAAAGAGTGAGCATGTTGCCGGAAGCAGATTGGTCAGAAAATCAGGAAATAGTCGGCCCGTACTCGCGTCCATCTTGGAACTATCCATTGAACGTGCAAGTGACCAATCAGGCGCCAGCAGGCGAAGGAGCGCATACTCGTTCACCCTTGAAACAAGGCTTGTGGCATTGGACCGAAGAAGCGCGCGGACTCAATCCCGCCAATCGTACATCCACTAAGAAAGTCAAGGTGATTTTAGACAGAGTGAACGTGGCAAGCAAGCATAAACCGATGGAAAGGGAGCCAGCGACACAATGCAAATTACAGGGATGAGCCATTGAGATAAACTGTTGTAAATAGTGCATATACTCTATAAATATTCAGCGTAGTCTTAATAAATGACTTCGTGATCGCGGCCCAGTCTTCTTGCCTCCCGCAGGGCTACATGACAGCACGTCTGCTGCCGTCCCATAGTCAGACTGCCCGTTTAAACTGTGTTTGATGATGAGTTATCTATGGGGTAATGGCCGATTATGGCGCGGGGCTGTGAAAAACGCAAGGGAGCTGTCGCACTGATGTCACCTTATCTTCCCATGATAGCCAGCTGTTCGTGACGGTATGTTGTTGGCAAGATGTACACGCCTTGACCCTGAATGTTTGCTTAGGAGCTTAGTTTTTCCTGAAAGTCCCTTTTATCTCTGTTCCGTAAGTCGTGCTTGTACGGCAGCGAAGCATCAGTTCAAAGGACCGATGTATTACTGCTGTTGGCGATGATAAACTGAGAAGCTGTCTTGGTCCTCAAGTAAGCGAACGCCCAAGATGTCTTGCGCGCCACGCTTTCCCAAATTACCTAAAGGTATTAGACTTTAGTGGAATAGCAGGTCGACCGGAACGCAGGATCTACGGACTTCTGCACCACTGGCCGTTATCATCATGATGATGCTGATGATCGTGACAGACACTGAAGAACGGTAGTGTAGGTAAATCCGGTAGGCCGGTGGCCGAAAGGATAGCGCGCATGCCGTGTAATCTGCGAATCGTACGTCCGAATCCGAGTATGGACGGGCGACCGCTGATGGTTGTGTAGCATCCAAGCGTTGGTATGGTGTGCCGGCGTACCGTTGACACCATTCTAAGTAAGACCGCTGGTATCCAGGAAGAACACTCCCGGTGGCGCCAAAACAGTTTGTCAGGACGGATTGTCAGGTGCACGATAGAAAGGAACCTGTGTATAGATAAGGAAGTCGGACAGATCACAAAGGCTAAGGGAATGATGGGGGCAGGAGCAAGTTATCACAAGTTCCTCCAGATGATCCGGACCATCGGCCCCAGGAAGTTATGGGTCGATGAAAAAATAAGGAGTAGCAACAGCGCAGAAAATCTCAGTAAGGAAGGTTAACTAGATCATTGGGTGAAGTACTTCTGGTGTGCCATAACATAACCAGAAAGTGCAGAGGGTGCGGTTAGAAAAACGACCGCAGCCCGTAGTCGTGTTTTACTCCTCTTCCGAGGTCCACGATGCCTGTGCTATTTAAGGATAGTAACGAAGATTTTGTTCAGGCTTTGACCCACATGTTCGAACAGGTATAAAAAGAAGAAATTAACCTAACCAGCCGCGGCGAATAGAACACAACATAGGAGGCAAGTAGTTGCACTGTTTTGCAATCAAACGAATATCAGAGTTATGTGGCCAAAACAACATTCCCATTCAATTTTTAACGTTGCAGGTCACAATGCATACTGCAAGAGAGGCCCGGGAGAGTAAAACACGAAACCGTTATTTGTTCGCGGTTTTGTGCGGATGGGGAATATTTAAAATTGGGCATTTCACAGGTATTTCGGGCAGTCAGAAGTTGTAAGGTCGCCAGAGGAAACTAACAGCGCGAGACAAAGCTAATGGCATAACTCTAGTAGTATACAGGTATGCAGTACCGATGCTTGGATGCCGCGCAACCACCAGCAGTTGCGCGTGGGCTAATTATACTGCGAGAGCGGTCCAGCACCTACGCAGGTTCGAACCCGTGTCCTCAGATAACAATGCAGGCTTGTGTTCCTTAAAGCTACGGGCTTAACTAGTTCGAAACTGGAGAAATGTGTAAAACATTAGCTCAATATCGCGGTGGTGGCGGGGGGGGGATTCGCTTGCGAGGTGGCGTTCATAATGCTGTCGTGCACACAATGCGAAGTGGTACAAGTTGTGATGAAACAAGAGAAAGGTTGGGATGCGCACTGCTTCCAGTGGCCGGAAGTGGAATGGAAGGCGATATAAAAGCAAAAACCACAAGGTGCAACGTTGACTCCAAGAAAGAGCGCCAGCTACATTGTAGGAGGCGAGAAAGACGACGGCAGGACTGAAGAACCAGAGGGCTTCTCAAGATGTTTCATCGTGAATGGATACGAATAGAAGGGAGAGGAGAATAGGGTAGGTCTTACTTCTGGATGCTTCATTTGTATTTGCAATAAACGATAACACAATTGCATCCCTATCTCCATTGAGGATGCGTAATCAAGCACATCATCGGGCTCAGTCCATGTGCAAGTTGATAAAAGCGCGCGCATAAGCTGCGAACCCTTAGCTAACGCGAAGGGTGAGTCTTTTCAGAACTATAAGCCTGTTTGGTGGTTAGACTACACAAATGAAATGGGCGGGTAAGTGTCAGACCCGATCTTGGAGAAATCCGTCTACTTGGATACCAGTCTTTGTCGGAATGATTATTTTAGATAAGTACGACAACAACGACCAAGGTGATTGGAGGGCAATTCTGAAGTACACATTGTGTGATTGGATTACGACGTTCAATCTCAATATAGGCCGCGATTAACAATGAAATGGATCTTGGTCAATGCGATTACTGGGACCGTGGCGGAGGCAGATGGAAATTCGGTATTGCCCGCCCGAAAACATTGCACACCATGACGCGTTTCCATCTCATTTGATCTCATCAGGGAAAGATAGCCGCAACCATTGGAATAGTAGTCGAAACCTCTACACCCTTGGTCTACCTGACAGACAATGGTTGTCACAACGGTTAATGACTGATTGGAGAGCCATTTTAAAGTAAACGTTGTGTGATTGGATTGTGACGCGCAATCGCAGTGTAGACCGTGATTCACACTGCAGTAAACTTTGGTCAGTGTGATAAACGGGACTGTCGTGTGAAGTATTGCCTGTTGTGACCCGGTAACCAAACGGATTGAGGTTTCGGCTGCTGTTCCAACGGTCGCGGGTTCTAGGCCCTCTATCGACGACTAGTGGTTAGAAAAGACATCATTTTAAACATAACATAAACCGATTGAGTAGAACACAGGTCAGGTTAGCAAATAGCCAAGCTATCTGTGGCACATTAGCGTAGGTGTGTTTCTTACTCTCAGGTGTCAAAGTCGATGCGACGAAAGACACCACAAGAAAACATATGAGGTAAGCGCTCACACTGCATCAGTGTCTCCAAAAGGTGCTTTGGTCTCAAAAAGTACTGCATCTAGCGGGGAATCCAGCGGAAGTGATGAATCTGACGGAACAGATGTCATGTTAGGGCTAAACTCCGACAATGGACGATCCAACATGAGTGTGAAACGTTTCACAACCATTGATCTTTCCTCAGGAGTGGATCGTCCAAAACGGTACGGTGCAAAGAAGCTTTGCAGTAGGCCAGGTGGGAACGCATGACACTTCAAGGACATGTCTGGCGGACAAATCTCCTTTGGTGAACCGATTTGATTCTCTAGGGTAAACGGGGCATACCCAACCTGCAATGGGACACCCAGAAGGTCAGTCAAACTATCGACTAAATCACAGTCCAGATCGTCTATGGTTTCCTTCGTTGACGGTAACCAATGGACGATAACTTGGATCCGTCCGAGAGATTGGCCTCTCACATACCACGCAGCAGCAGACACTAACTCTTTCGCTTGTTGGAACAGACAAGTCGACCTTTGAGATGCATCACCTGAAGGAGGGGAGAAAGGGGAGGAAGCTTGAAGCAGCATATGTGATGTGTGCGCTCGTGGATGGAAGACATACAAGTGATCGGTTACACGGCTAGTCCAAGAAGTATTTTTGAAAGAGGAAAGAAATGTGGGAAAATATTGGCGATGCCCATTTTACTCTCTCGGCGACACATAATGCTGCATACACATTATGATGGGAATCCAATCACATCACGTCTAGCTTGGTCCGCTCAGAGACCACGCGTTCTAATAGTAACGGACAATAACTCCATTAGAATTAAGAGTGTTAACATCTGAGATCAGAGACCATGAGGAATTCAGGAAGGATACGTGGCGTAGATATTCAGATGTTTATTGCGATCTCAAACGCCTGGTGCGATTACTCGCTGTTGCCTAGGAGTGACGGAACTGGAAGTATCGTGGCGCGTGTCCAGCCGACTGAGGCTGAATCTAAGCAAAGGTACCGGTGTATAACTGACGCTTAAGAACGAGCATTCACGCGCAGCCAGCACAAGTTATGGTGTTCGAGAGGCGGCGGGGTGACTCAGACGTCTGGCTTATAATTCAGGGGCCAATGGTTCAAATGTGTGCAGATGCGGAGGATTTTGTAGTATCCCAGCTCGCAGCGGTAGCAGCGTGACAGCGACGCGTCGGTAACGAACTTCGGTTTACCACTGACGCTGCGCTGTCACATCACATTTGCTGTCTATTTAGTTGAGCGAGTACAGCATAGCTATACAGATGGAAAATTGTGAAAATAATCGAACAGATAGCAGAATTGGGCCAGTATTCGTGTCCACTTTGAGCAACATAAGAAGCCGGTGCTATCCCTCGATGGAACTGTGTCTCGCACTGTCGAGAAATATATCATTTTCTTAAGGTACGTGATGATTGACAAGTTGAGGAAACCGCAAGAGTAGCAAAGAGACTACATAGAGGAATGATACAAAAAGAGGAGTTGGGAAGTTGATACATTGTGAAGCACTGTGGGCTGTAGCTATGGGACACTGACGCCCGTAAGTAGAGGTATAACAATATTTGACTGAGGTGGTAGCCATGTCAAGGCCAGTACAACCGCGAGACCGTCCTAACAAGCAATCAGAGCAGTGATACACATGCAACCTGCTTCTCGCTATTACCATTGAATCCATTCAGTGGAAGATTCTAACATTCGCGACTTCGGATTTTTCTGGCTCAACTCTGACCACTGAGTACCGTAATCGTCATGATAACGCGCGTCATGGGAACGAGGTTAGTTACCCGTTCGTAATTAGAACGTGGCTGAGTAACAACTACCAGTAAACGATCGACGTCCACGCTAGACAATAGGCAAGATAGTACATTATTATCAACTGTTGGGTCGTTTGGACTGTGTGAATCAGTCACAAGTTGAACGGAGAACTGGTTTGGAGTTGGTCTCGTTCAGTTCGGTTGGTCGGATCGCATTGGAAACGGAGTTACGATTGGTGCTTCAATTTTCCAAACATGGTACACCAAGACCGGTTAGTCCTTATTTGGATTCTACACTTGGAGATAACCGGAATGAAACTCGAACCCGGAACATAGACCGCTGTCCTCATCCCCATCCCACTGAGATACATAGATAAGGCCAATTACAATCGGTTTGTTTGGAAGTTAAACAGTGGCCGAAGAAACGCACATATAACAACCAAGAGGAATGAAAACTCACCATGCCATGCACTGTTTAGTCGTTTAGCCCCGCGTGTCACCACTTTTATCCAGAAAGACGGAGCCCAAGTGTTCGCATCCGATGCATTCCCAGTAATGGCACAGAAATCATCCGATTTAGGGAGATGTAGATCCAGATCCTCGATTCGCTGTTGAGTGCAGACAAGATCCACCAGCACATTGCCTAAAAGTAACATGGATGAACGAATAGCAGCGACAATGTGAACAATAAACAGGCTACGGAGCATAAAGAATTTTCTACTGGTGGTTGACAGCGAGAAGCGCAGACTGGTGCAAAGACCAGACCGTGGAAAGTGAGGATAACCGTGGGCGCACAAACAGCTCACCATGGTGATTTTCCCCGACCTGAAAGCCGTCCGGGGGAAATATGATCGTGACGGCAAAACAGCTTTCCATTCTTTTGCCACTTTAGTGTGACCTCCAAAGTGGAGTAAGTCTATAAGGAAGCTTTCGTCTGAGTTCGGGTCGGAATGATCACAGATTCCGCTTTCTCAGCCTATTACGAAGTAGAAGTCCTGTCGAATGGCCGACTGAAAAACATGGAGTATGCAAAGTGCGATTCACTATCCGCACGAGTGCTTAGGCTGATACCTTTATGGGCCACTTGGAAAACACTGTACTACGTTCTTATATACAGAGTGTACACTTCTATGGCCGGTAGACGGAAGACAAACTAGTAGTCGTTGACAATCCACAGCAGGAGGCATACATATTGGAAATAATGAATAAATGCCATCCCGCGATCGGGTTCACGATAGAAAAGGAATCCGATGGATCCTTCCATTTCTTAGATGTTAACTTACAGAAGCCCAGACGCTACACTCGTTCAATCACTTTACAGAAAACGGATAAGGCCGGGACAATACCTGATCTTTAGTAGCTTCGTGCATCAGCAAGGCCCATGTGGATTTCCACAGGTTTAACCATCTATGGAGAAGACGGGATATCAACTGGTCAGTAAAAGGTAGGGTGCATAAGGCTGCGGTAAGGCCTGTGTTACTGTATGGATCAGGGACCTGGCCAGTTCGCGGCGAAGACATTAAACGCTTGACCGTGTTTGATCACCGGTGCTTGCGAAGTATAGCTCATGTCTGGTGGGAACACCGGGTGAGTAATGCTGAGGTCCACCAGTTGGTTTTGGCAATCATCATCATCATCATTAACAGCAGTACATCAGCCATTTGAACTGATGCTTCGCTGCCATACAACCATGAGGACCTATGAAATAAAGAATAAGAAGAGGGAGAGAAGGGGGACTTACCCGAAAACCTTAATGCCCTAAGCAAACATTCAGGGTCAAGGCGCCTACACCTTGTGTAGACAACATACCGTCACAAACAGCTGGCTATCGTGCAAAGATAAGGCGGCATCGGCGAGACAGCTTCCTTGCGGCTTTCACTGCCCCGCGTCATAATCAGCCATTACCCCGTAGATAACTCAGCACCAAACACACCTTAAACAGGCAATCCGATTAGGAGACGGCAGCATACGCGCCACTGGTGTCGGTTGCGAGCCATGTGCTGTAAAGTCTCGAGCCATGCACAAGGCGAGTCACGTGGACTCCAACCCGGAAGGCGAGACGGACCAACGGCACCCAGTTTGGTCGTCAGTGACTTCGTTTCCCTCTGCCAAGTCAACTTCTGTCCACCTCGAGTCTTGCGCCATCCTACACCTGGTAGACTGAACAAGGCCCTCCTAGGTAAGCGGTGACCAGGCATACGTAGCACGTGCCCGAGCCAACGCAACTTATTCAGTGCTATCTGTTGTTCTAGGGAGCTAGCATGATTATCACCACCTAGTACTCGCTTACGCACATCATCGTCGCGGACACGCTGGTGCCATCCGACACCAGCAATGCTTCGCAAACAACGATGATCAAAGACTTGAAGGCGCCTCAGATCTTCAGACCGAAGGGGCCAAGTCTCACTACCATAGAGCAGAACGGCCCTCACTGTGGCCTTGTATACACGGCCTTTCAGACGGAGGGAAACTCCCTTCTGTCGCCAAAGATGACGCAGGCTCAAGAAGGCAGTTCTGGCCTTTGCAATGCGTGAGCTCACGTCAGTTTCTATGCGCCCATCATTGCTGATGCAGCTGCCAAGATAAGTGAATTGATCAACCACCTCGAGTTCCTCGTTAGCAAGTGTCAAGGGGTCATCAAGTGGCTGGTGGTCCTGCAGCAACACTTTGCACTTTGAAGGTGCGAAGTGCATACCAAATAATGGGACCACCCTGGATAGGCTATTCAGGGTTGATTGTGCCGCCTCAACATTGTCGAAAACCAAGACGATATCGTCCGCATAACCTAGATCAACTAACCGTTCACCAGGCAGCACTTCAACACACCTACATCGCGAGATTCCGCGAGGGAAAACTCCATGATAGAATCCACGACGAAATTGAACACAAACGGGGAAATCGGACAACCCTGTCGAACGCCACTTGTAGTCGAAAAGCTATCCGATAGGACACCATAGACCCTAACGCGGCCTGTAGTTTTCGAGTATAGAGCACGAAGTATGTTCACATATTTCGTGGGAACACCTTTCCGCGCAAGTACTTCGAACAGAATCGATCGATCCACTGAATCGAACGCACTCTGGAAATAGAGGAACACAGCTACTGTCGGTCTGCGGTATGCGTGGCGCTGCTCTAGCACCTGCCGCAAAGTAAATATATGGTCTATACAGCCACGTCCTGGGCGAAAACCAGCCTGCTCTTCCCTAATCCGAGATTCCCGTTCTGCAGTGAGGCGACGAACGATAATCGAGGCCAGTAATTTTGTCACAACTGGCGTTACGCTAATACCCCCTGTGGTTCACACAGTCTGTGCGACTGCCCTTTTTGTATATTGCCACTATAATTGATTCACTCCAATTAGCCGGCACACTCTCTTCGTTCCAGATACGTTCGAATAGGGAGGTCAGTGCCCTGCAGAGGACCTCACCTCCATCCTTAAATAGTGCAGGTGGGACGGAATCCGGGCGAGCGGCACAAAAACGATTGAGGGCTGTGATCGCGTTTCGGACCTCGGCCTCCGACGGAGGCCTAAACTAACCGTCCATGGCATCACCTGAGTAGGAAGAGGTCCGGGAGCAGGGGGCCAGCTGAACTGATGTTCAAAGTGCTCAGCCCAACGAGCCATACGGCGCTCCTTATTGTGTATCAGCGCACCCGCGCTGTCTCTGATTGTCTCACTGACGCCTGGTTTTCCGAGACAAGTGGTGCAAATTAGCTGGAAGAGCTTGCGGTAATTGCCTACTGCTCCTGCCTCCTCCATTTCTTGAGCCCGACTGGTCCACCAGGCTTCCTTGTCAGCACGTAGGCTCCGCTTTAGTTCACGCCTAATAGCCCGTCTGGTCACATTGCGTTCAGAACCAGCCGGGAGGTGTCTTCTAGCTTCCAACAGGTTCACGGACCTCTCGGATATCCAGTGACTGGTGCGATGACGACTGATAGTGCCACAAACAGATGCTCCTGCGGCGTGTATAGTGGCCAAGATCCTATTCCACTGAAGTTCTGTGTCATTGGGACAAGACAGCGAGAGTTCGCTATGCAGTGCTTCTTGATAGGCTTGCCTGACCGAGGGCTGGGACAATTTCTCCGCTGCCAATCGGGGGAAACGCTTTGTGCGCCTTCCGGTAAAGTTCATGGAGAAACGACAGCGCACCAAGCCATGGTCAGAGTCGACACAGGTACTCCAGTACGAGCGGCAATCCAGAATGGAACCGCGCCACCTGTAACTTATGGCTATGTGGTCAATTTGGGTCCATCGCTGGCCAGCTACAGGTGGACGCCAAGTGGCACTTCGGCGCCCACTGTGTCTAAAAGCAGTGCTAGTAAGGAACAACTGGTGCTTCGCACACAGTTGCAGCAGACGCTCGCCGTTGTCAGTCCGTTCGGAGTTAAGTCCATACTTACCACCCAGCTGAGCTTCTGAAGACCTCAGACGCCCTACTTGTGCGTTCATACCCCCTGCAAGTACTATAATATCTGAACTAGTAGCACTGCGTAGCAGCGTGTTCAGTTCGTGATAGAAAGTGTCATTGACTGCATTAGAACTGCAGTCGGTGGGAGCATAAGCAGAAATCACAAACAAACAGCGTTCTGTTTTACTTCGCGAATTCACCTTAGCTGATGTCGTCAAACGGGCTGCACATAAACGGCTGTTCACCGGAATCCAATCAACCAACGATGACTCAGCCTTGGAGCTGAGAATGATACCTACACCAGCTTGACCCGTGAGTGCCGCATCGGCGTCTCCGGATGCGCGCAACCAATAACGAGAGGATAAGCCGGGTGCAGTCAATTCAATAACCCCGTTAGGGTCATTAATCCTAGTTTCGGACACACAACACACATCAACACCCAGTGTATCCAAGGTGCGTGCGAGTGCAGCCTGCTGACCTGTTTGTCTTAGAGTGCGGACGTTGAATGTCGCCATGGAAACAGGACAGCGTGGCCTTATAAGGAACTTTTGCCGATAGGCGTCCGATAGGTGCTGTGGGATGGTGGCTGCAGACGGTACTACTCCAGTAGCACTTCGGTTGCTGTCAATTAAGCTGGGAATTATAGAAGGAAGGTTAGTAATAGGGGCCGGGATGGGAGTAAGAGAAAAAGGTGGAAAAGAAAGAAGGGAGGCGCCAGCAGTAGCACGTTTTCGCTTATCCGCCCTGCTGTATGCAGCAGATAAGGCGACCCTTGATAATCTGCGCGACGGCCGATGCAGGATGAAGTTTATGTTTGAAGAAAATGTCATGGTTGCATGTGGGCTGGGATACTGCCAGGGCGCCCAGACCTAGACAGGAGAACGATTAGGGTCCTCATCCAAAGCCTTTGGCTCAAAAGCCTGTCCGCAAGGCAGCGGGGTGGCAATGATTTAGTTTTACAGAAATGGACGTCATCCCATTTCAAACCCCCAACCTGGAGGACCAGGAGACTGAGTTTGTCTGACGTCTCACCACTGACCAATCTGGTATGAGTAGCTCTCAAGATGCTCGGAGGCATCACCCAGTATAGCTCAATGGGTCAATGAGGTACGCAAACCGTCGCACCACGTTAAGGTCCAGTCTCGTTGCGACGATGGTTTTGGCAAGCCTTCTGGTGCCTCACTGGAGTGTTTACTGAATGTAAATCGCTTACGTTGGCTAGCCATGTCCTCCG